TTGCTGGTTAATTTAGTCTTTCTTGTCCTTCTCATGGAACTGCATTAGTATCATCCAGAATTGTAAAAACAAATTTTAATTCGTTTAGACATGGTGATTTTTGTAATTTAGCCTGCATCGAAAGTTCAATCCCAACTTATGCAACAATTTATCAATATTTCAATAAACTTATCAATGTATTGCAGTATATATACCACAGAAGTGGTATTATTGCTGAACCCTGCAGTGAAAAGAATTCTGTGATCAAAACTTACCCCTTTAAAAGATATATAAAAGTAGAGGTCACCTGAGTGGCTTGGGTGTCATTCAACTTTATTTCTGCATCCTTATACTATATGGGACCAAATACCTCCATAACTTTTTATTATAACCATTAGGAACATCTGTACCTATACATTCTCATTGCAATCAAATCACACTTTTTTTCATGTCTCAACTTTAGAAATTTTAATTCCTTTTCAAATTTCCCCCACCTTGTGTGAGATACACAGATGACATGGTTGGTATCGGCCAAGGAGAACTGTAGGACCTTGTTGGTCAGAATGGAGCTGGCATCAGCAAATCCAAACAAGGAATGATCAGTAAACACTGTCCTCAGACCCATTGTGCGGGCATGAAACATGGCCTCATGGGCTAATGTTGAAAAAGCCTGCAATTGTTCTTTGAAAAATAATTTAACCAAGAAATTATACCCAAAGAAATTTTCAGAGCTTGAATAAGGTAAATTTTCTCAGAATTATTACAATCTAATGAAACTAGTATAATGTAAACAAAGACCTGTAATGATGTATTCCTCTGCATGTAAGATGTAGAATACTATTATTCAATCCATAAGATAGTATATGACAATATTACTATAAAAAATACCCACCGAGTGTCCATGTACAATGGTTATTTGTTCTCTGATAAATATGTTTCTCAGCAGAGGGAAAGTGGTGAAAATTGTTGGCAGGATGCATTGGTTGTAAAATGGAATAAAAGGGAGATAATATGCCTATATCAAGAAAAGAACAGTATTATGATATGATGTGACATTAAAGAATAAAATCATGTGAAAAAAAAAGACAAGGATTTTATCCCTGATACCTAGCTGAACTCCAGAAAGTAACCTACCAGATGAGCTACACGTACCTGGCAATAGCAAAAGAAAGTATAAGAAAGATTACCTGATTGGCTTAGATTTAAGCTAATTTTAAAACAATACTTTCTAGAAGTTAATTACTGCAAACACAGCAAGTAAGAACTAATTAATTATTCAATAAATGATCACTGATATTATAAAAAATTCACAGTAAATAAGAGTTATGTCCCTTATCCCCATTTTGCAAAGAAAAAAAGGATTATTTTTTCCACTTTTGCCTTTGCAAGTTTTCCTGTCTGAATCTTTTGCAGTTTATCCTTGAAAAATTAATAACTTGCACCAATGCAGGACAACACAGACATTTGTATGGCTGCATCAAATTTCTTTTTGTTCACATTATTAAAGCTCAGGAATTAGGTACATATACTAGCATATCAAATAAGGGAAAAAGTGAAAGAAGGTGTTTTCTCTGCCTGACTTTTGGTTGATGAGAAGGAAGGTAATCAACGGGACTGTGAATTCATCTATTACAATGTTTAGTGGAAAGAGGATACTGTTTCATGACCTAATCACATGCTGCAACAGAGATATAGCTTTGTATTAGTATAAATTTATACAGCTAAACTATAGTATCTCGAAAATGGCTATCTTGAACACCATGGATATGTTGAAGTGATTTGGAAGTCCCAAGCTCTTTTTTCTATTTTACCCTCAATATCTCGAACTCTTGGATATCTCAGTTTTTTTTCTCTGTCCCATTGAGTTTGAGGTAACAAATTTGACTATATTTATACCTTTAGACCATTGCTGAGGTATCTTACTCCTTTTTTTTCACCATAAGCATGAGTAACCACCACCACTTTGTGGCCTCTCTCCAGCAAACACTGTGACAGCTGATATATGTGGCTCTCCACACCTCCCATGTTGGGATAAAAGAAATCTGACACCATACTACAATAATTGATATATTACATAATTATATATTATACAGGTCCAGCACCATCTCTTGATTAAGCTTTATAGCTTGAATTAGCTACATGTATATAGCTTGACTTACATGTAGCTATCAAAATTAGCTTGATTTAGCTATTTTATAATACTTTTTTCTTAAATACTTTTCTCTTAAATTGTTTATCTTGTATAAAAAAAAACACTTGGGACATGATAGTATTCAATTTTGTAGCCTGTTTTGAAAACTAATAAAGAAAAATTCACATCTTTTCAAAATACATCTCCTTAAGACCCATTGCAAAGTTTTAAAAGTTTTGGGACTTTCATAAAGTGATTAATTTGTGGCCAGACATTTATTTCTGGAACATGTTGAATGAAATTATTAAGGAGGCTGATTCTGGTTTATTAGGTAAGTGATTGTTAATAAATCATCACAATATGAGGTAATCATACTTCTCCATGCCTTAATGCAAACAAGATGGTCTGTACAGTTACCCAAAGAATGGAAATACACCTTGTACTAAGTGTTCAAAAGCAGTAATAATTAAACTATCTGGTTTGAATTGTGCTTTTAATAGTACATAGTACTAATACGAGTAGTCAACTACTTGTGACTTTTGTGCATTAAATAGCTTAAAAAAGCTATAAGCTTAATCAAGAGATTGATTCAGATGTTTATAGACAGGCAGTAAATCTAGTATTCCTGATTCCTGACTGTTCCAAATTGTGATTTTTTCTTGATATGCTTCATAGCACTTGAAAGATTTGCTTCATACTCCTTAGGCACACTTGTTATGTTGAAATAAATTCACACAAAACATAAATAATTATTACCAATATTACACATAATATACTAAACAAAGAATTCCTGATTCCCGACTGTCCCATATTGTGGAATTTTAATGACATTCTTCATATGGCTAAATACTAAAAAGTAGCGTTTCTTATAGGAACATTTGCTATGTTAAAAATAATTCAACTATTGCATAAATCATGTAAATATACCAAGAATGTTACTTATACGTTTCTAAACAGTGGAATGTCATCTTCCGAAAGCAGTAAATATGGGTACAGTACTTCTGGGTTACAAATGCAGAAATCTGAAACTGACATCTTTCAGCGAGCTACACATCTCAATAGAAATGCTGCCATACATTTATTGTTGATATCTTAATGACAATGTATTTGACGATTTAGTAGAAAATAGCAAATGTACATGGGAAATATAAAGCGATTTCGTTCAGCAGTTTGAGAAGTATCAATAAAAAAAATCACAATGAAAGAGAACTGGGTACTAGATCTAGATTTACCGCCAGCCCTTTTTATACTTATATGTCATTTACATCCTTGATTTATGATACTCACCATATTGAGTGCTTCATGGTCTTTCTAGTATGCATACATCTTCTGCTTTTATCTGAACTCGTGTACACATTTTACAGTCAGTATACTTTATTGGTACTTGTGTCCTTTTCACATGGAGTACATGATACCTCAGCTACAGAGGTAGGGGACTAAATTACATCAAAGTGTCAGATGGCCATGATAAATCGTTGAAGAATGTTAAATTGTTTTATTTGTATCAATTTTTCACGAAAAAATTGTTTAAAACACATAAAACTTCAAGAACATTTTCTCTTGATCCAGTGATCGTGTTTATTTCATACGCAATGATACACCGGAAATGCTTTGCGCTAGCTACATTTAGAACCAAGGGAAATGAAACTTTACATACATTATAGAATACGTCTCCGGTTATTTTAGATGAAAATAGATTGTATGGATAATAAAAAAGCAGGAAAGACATATTTTAATTTTTTGAGTACAATACTTTCAATCTTTCTGTGCTTTTCACCTTTCCTGACCATCATCACCATTTTACCGGATTTTTTATCGTCCGCCATTTTCCTCGGCGCCTCGAAGTTGGAGAAACACTTGTCTTATGCTTACTGAAGCTGCCCCGTATAAAAAACACGGTATAATTTTCATCAAAAATTGCTTTATAAAACGATATCATTAAGTATATTACATTTAATACTGCAGAAAGGTTATGTAGTACAGTTATTTTATGCAGGATTTGTAAAAATTGCACCCAAGTGCATCCGCCATCTTTGATTTAAGCTTTGGATAAATGAAGTTAATTTAAAACCATTTTAAAGAAAAAGTATGGTCTAACAACCGAATTTGGCATATAATTAACACTCTTGTATGCTATATGAGGCAATTGATATGCTTTTTGATATTTGAAAATAAAAATAATACATGTTATCCAAAAGAATATATGTCAGGTGTGAGTTATTAAAATACAAAATATTTTATTATGTTAAAATTGATCTTATATAAGATTTGAAACTTTGGTTTAAAAAAAAATACTGATGGCCTATTTTATAAGTGTTAAATATTTTACATTTAATATTTTACAAATAAGCCGATTTATGATGCTCTCATGGGTTCATTCTTGAATGGGTAGCTGATTTCTAATGGGGTCGAAACAAAGATGGCCACCATGGCTTCTTTATCAATACATTTTAGAATTTATTTATTGTAAATTAGTGTGTTACATACTAATTAATGGAAACTTAGGAAGATTACTAAATGTCTAAAATTTTTACTTTCATTTAAAACTCCTACAGAAATGTATTAATTTGCTTAATATTAATTATATGCAATAATAATGTGCCCAGTTTGTCTGTCTGTTCGTAAACATTTTTTTTCAAACTGCTACTTTTCCAATGGTTTTGAACCAATCACAGTAAAATTTCTACACAGATAGACATACAACACTAAGATACATAATTCTGCTGTTGATTTTCAATTTGGACAAATTGTTTCTATAGTTATACTCAACACAATTTTTGTGTGATTTCTTTTAAATCATTGCTCCAGTTTTGATTCAGTTTCAATAAAACTTGGTACACATGTAGACTACACTAAAATACAAAATTCAATTTATCATTTTTTGTTTTCCAAGTTGCCACAATTTAAAGTTATTGAAATAGACATTTCTATAAATTAAATTCTTTCCAAACATTATTCCTTCTGCAGATTTGATGTTAATTAAACTTGGAACAGGGTTTACTTCACCACATTACAACATTACAGTTTCGATGAACTGAGAACTGAGTGTTTCATTGGATAATACGTGAAATATGTTGAAAATGCTAGACTGCTACCCACTCTCAAGTGGGTAGAATTTTTTTGATAAAAAATGTTAGTTTTAGGTAATTTTTCGAATTCATAGTACAAATGTACTTATGAATATATCACAAATATGACACTGAAAAAAAATTTACGAGATAAAAGTGGAAACCGCTGGGGGTCAGCGTCTATACATCGGGGGGGGGGGGTTGTCTTCAAGCCCCTGTGATAGACACCAATTAGGCTCAAGTGAGCTTTTCTGATAGAAATTTGTACATTTTCTGTCTTTGTTGTCATTGCTATTGTTGTCAGTGTCGTAAACTTTTCAGAATTTCATCTTCTTCAGAACCATCAATTGAGGGGGGGGGGGGGGGTTGTCCTCAAGCCCCTGTGATAGACACCAATTAGCAAGACCATGATTATTAGTGATATTAATATGCAAGGCTGAAGCATCAGATAGTGCATATTCAAGCTTGTTCAAATCATGACCCCCAGAGTTATGGTGAGGCCACAATTGGGGATAGAAGTTTTACATGGAAATATATAGGAAAAAAGCAACAGGACCATGATTAGTGACATTAATATATGCAAACATCCTCTGAGTCAGGTATTGTAGATTCAAGCTTGTTCAAACCATGGCTCTCAGGGCTAGGATGGGGCCCTAATAAGGGAAAACAAAATTTTGCGGGAAAATATAGGAAAAAATGTTTAAAATCTGCTCAAGAACAGCAGGACCGTGTTAAGTAATACTGTATACAGGGTTATTTTCAATCTGTATTATTTTTCGCCTTTTCACACTTGCAAATAATATGCCCCATTTTAAATTCGCCCAATCACAGTTCTACTGTGTTTTTTGAATTCACCCCATTTTAAATTCGCCCACCAGTGAGTAGGGTGAAAGGGGCAAAAATAAAACAGGAGCAAAAATTTCCCTGTATCATGTATACAGTAATGATATGCAAGCATTCTCAGGAAGTATAGATTCTAGTTTGTTCAAACCACCTCCCCTTCTTTGGGGATAGGGTGGGGTCACAAAAGGGTATGAAAGCATGGGAATATATTTAATTTAAAAAATGTCTTTTAAAAATTCTTGTCAAGAACACCAGCTAGGCCTTGATTATTAAAGTAATATTTTGTTTAAATCATGGCCCCTAGAGGTAGGATCATGCATAATGATAATAGGAGTCAATTAGTTTAAAATGGGAATTTATGATCAGGAAAAATCTTACAAAATCTTCCTCTTATGAACAATGGGGCCATGACTTGTGGTACTAGTATTATTATGCAAGCATTGTCAGGTCATGTAGATTTTCAATGTGTAGACCCGTGGAGGTAGGGTGGGGCTACAACAGAGAATCAAAGAAAAAATTGTGAAGAAATTTTTCCTGTAAAGAACAGTGCATTCATGATTATTCATATTGATATGCAATCATCCTCAGATAGCTTAGATCTTGACAAGTTCATTCAAATTGAAACCCAGGGGTAGATTGAGGCCAATGTTCTGAAGATGAGCAGAGCAAGATCACTCGGTGTTAATAAAAATTATTTTGAAATCCAGCTAAAATATGAACACAAACAGCTTTTAATTACATCTTTCAGTAATATTCCTGTATTCTATTTAGATTACCCCTATATTGATGAACTAAAGAGCAAATACTAAATTTTTTGTTCTTATTTTTGTAGAGTCAAATATTCATAAAAATGGATGAAGAAAGTATTTCCAAACACAATATGCCAAAGACAATTCACTCAATGGGTGAAGAATTTGTCATTGAAATCAACTCTGATTACAGCGAAGAGGAGGGGGAGGAAGAAGAGGAGGAAAACAGCAGTGTTAGGGGAGCAGAACACTGTGATGAGACAGATTCTATGCAACCGTGCACTGCACAACAAAATCCTTCCACTGAAGACCAAAATAATGTCTGTCCACAAGCAACAAAGACTGCAAAAGTGTCTAGTCCAATAAAGATAGGAAGAGACTTGGCCGGTAAGGTGAATTTTATTGGTTTGGAGCCTGCAGATGAAAGTCCGTCTTCTGCTGAATTGGAGAATGAGGAGCCTTCAGGACTTGAAAATATTAAGATTGTAAATGTTTGCACCCTTGCCCATGATTTTGAAGAGGATACCACAGAAGACATGGGGATAATGGACCCAAACTCGAAACAGGCCATGAGACCAGAAGAAGGTATCCCACAAGATTCTGTTTCACCCACCACACCAAACATGATTATTGTCCAGGAGCATCGATCACAAAGTACCCTTTCAGTGATGCTTGTATGCAAGTTTTGTCATCAGCTTTTTCCTACTCATGAGGCTTTATATTACCATGCTAGACATCACAGAAACATAGAAGATGAACACTCCGTAAACAAGCACTTTCACCAGCAAGTACCTGTTGAAAAATCACAGGGGAATGAAATGAAGAATGAGAGTCCAGTTCAGCAAAGTGTTCGTGAATCTGTTCAGAAAAAAAGAAAGAGTGATGAGCAAGACACTTCTGAACAAAAACCAATGAAAAAAATGAAAAGAAAATCCCAAGGACTTGCTGTTGAGGAGAACAAGTGTGAAAAATGTGGTAAAATTTTCATGAAAGATTATCAATATAAAACACATATTTTATTGTGCAAAGGAAAGACAAGCAAAATGGCAACTTGTTTTGAATGCAACAAAATGATTCCAGCACACGAAGAATATGAACATGCTTTGAAATATCATAATGTAGTGTGTCAAATATGTGGCCATAATCTGATGCAAGAATCTCGACTAAAATCACACATGAAGCTTGTGCACAAGATTTCTAATGATGAAAAGGTTAAAAAATCAACTGAAAGAAAGAATGTTTTTCTTGTTGTTGAACAAGCCTATTACAGAACATGCAGCTGTGGCAAAGCATGTGGGTCATATGAAGAGTATCAGGAACATAAGAAAAAACACAGAGCTGATAGAAAAACAGAAATGGTGCCTAAAGAGGAAGAAAATGAGAAACCAGAGGATGAAGAAAAAACTGAACAGAATCAAAATGATTCGGTTGAAATAAAATGTGAGAAGTGTGGTAAAATCTTTTTATCATCTTACCATTTAGAGAGCCATCTGAAAAGATGTTCCGCCACGGCTGTTAAAATGATGCTATGTGATATATGTGAAAAGCTGGTTCCTATGGATGAACATAGAGAGCATGTCTATTCTCACAGAATTGCGTGTGAACTATGTGGCAAAATTTGTATGGGAGAAAGGCACCTTCAGCGCCATCATTGTTTGGCAAAACAAAAGATGAAAGAAGAAGCTGCCAGAAAAGAAAAGAAAACCACTTTGGAGTCATTTGTTTCAGAAAGGAGTAAAACCTTGAAGATGGAAAAACTCAGGAAGTCTATACTTTTAGCTAAAAACTTGAAACGAAAATTAACAGCAGAACAGGAAGAGTTTTTATTAATGGAAATGAATGGTAAAAAACTGGAATCTCAGAACTTGAGCAGTGAAGTAACAGATCGTGAAGTGGTAAAGGATCCTGTTGTAAGTGATGTCGAGAAAGCAACATCAGTTGTTGAAAAAAGTGCAATCATTCCAGTACAGTGCAAGAATGATGAAGATGACAGAAATGATATTTTTGATTCAATTTCTTCTAAAGAAGAGAAAGAGAAAGATAAGACAGTTATTGCAGCAGCTTTAAGTTGTAGCCAATCGGAGAGCAATCCGGAAAAAGATGATAGCCATGTTTCTTTTAGAGTGGGGTCTGAAGGCAGCAACACTGAAAAAAATGTGAATAAACAAACAGACATAAAAAAGGGAGGTAAAAGAAAAAGGAAGAAGTACAAAAGAGGGAAACTTCTGGGGCAGAGAAGAAAACAAAGAATTAGGGAGGAGAAGGAAGAGGTGCATGAGGGACAGGACATTGTGGCCTTAGCTCTAGCTGTAATGGAAAGGAAGTGTGATGAAATTGATGGATGTAATGTTTTAATGGCAGCAGAAAGTCATTCTCAAGAATCAGCTGCTGGAGAAGAACAAAGTGTTAAAAAGACAATTAGGATAAATCCCTCCCCAAATGATATTTCAAAGGGAGCAAAAAGACTCTCTCAAGAATCAGAGAATGAAGGGGAAGAGAATGCCAAAACACATGAAGACGTTCAAAATTCAGCATCAAAGTCTAGTCTAGAGGAAAACATTGTCAATTCAGAAGAATCTAAAGTAACTTATGTTGAAATTTTAAAAGAAAGTGGAATACCAACTTCTGAACCAATAGTAAATTCTTCAATGATAAAAGTCAATTGGGTAATAAAATCTCACCTGGATGACTGGCTAATGCCTGCTTCACAGTCTAATCAAAATCCACAAGCGTGGATCTGTCGCCATTGTGGAAAACAACTCAAGACTAGAGAAGAGGGTTTGAATCATATGATTGAATACCATCCAGCTAACAAGACAACCAAAGAGATTGTGAAGGAATTGAACAGATCTAGAAATTATATTTATTGAGAGAAAAAATCTCTATATATGACAGGATGATAAAGTGATTTTTTGAAAAGTGTTTGTATGATTTAAAAAACCTAAATGTGTTCACTCATATTCATGTACTGTAAAAGAGATGTTTTAATGAGTATCTTGTTGCAGTTGACTTATTTTCAAGTAAGGTTTATCACATTAAACATTTAATTTAGTTGTGTACTAATAGATTGTTTTCAGTGTATATTTTTTCGTTATTTCTAGAGACTTAATACTGGGGAGGGGGGATTGATTACTAGAGACCTATAATCTGTATTATTGAATATGTATATGTTGGAAAACTTTTCCCGAGCACCATGAGATTTGGTGCCGAGCGAAGCGAGGGACCAAATCGAATGGCGAGGGAAAAGTTTAACAACATACTTAGTACGTTTCACACGAGAAATTAAACCCTTTGTGTCTCTATCTATTTCATTACAAATCGTTGTGTGCTTCTTGTTATTTAATCAAGATAACGATGATTTGATCCTTACTGTTGCCATTTTGTACAGGCCCAGATGTGATAATTATACCCTCAGGGGGTATATCTACCTGTCTGCAACAGGTCAGGTGAAGGTCTACAGTGAGTAGTTTTCAAACACAATAAGTTCATTTCTGTAGATTCAAAATCTCTGTATGAAAATATTCATGTCATTTTTGATGGAGTCTTGTGGATATTAGTAAAGATTTGTTTTTAGCGGTAAAATGGATAAATTGTTCTTGAAAAGCACACATTTTCACAGAAAAAGAAAAAAGGAAAAAAATACATATACGGTTGGATTGTCTCGGCGTACAACAATTACAGGGAAAGTTTACACACTACTTGAGCAATATAGGACTGACCCTGTGTATTTGAACTTTGTAAAGAATCAAATTTTAATTGACTTCTTGCTGTGTCCTCTTATTCTGTTACATGTAATTATAATCGAAGACAAGATGGTGAGTAATTTTTTTTAGCACTTTTTGATGAGGTGTACATGTAATTCTGGTTCAAGTATCAGTGTAATTGGTAAATCCTAAATACTCAAACAATTACTAAACCTTTCTTAAATTTCTGTTTTGATTTTGATTTTTTAAAAATTTAATGTTTTAATTGTGGCTAAAGAAAAGAAAAAAGAGATCCTTTTCTTTTTTTTATTCTGTAGGTTTTATTGACTATTTAGCACATCAGGTCCAACATTCATTGTTTTAAGTGACCTTGCCCTGTGTCCATGATTGTAACCTATCATTGATAATGATTAGTTCAATAATTGTGCACACAACGGCATAGTCATCCAACCATGAAGCTTGGTCTTGGAGTGTACCAAGTGATTTGGTAGCAGCAAAAACCCTTTGTTCGAGGTGTGAAACATGTACTAATTATACTTTGGGTTATCTTATGCCTATCAGACATGCTCTATTTATTTGCAACTGTAGCTTTTTTTAAATAACTTCTGCAGAAAGAAGATTAAGATTTGATGAATTGAAGGTGTTTATAGTGACTTAATTTGCACAATGTCAGATGCACAGGGACTAGAAATGTAAAATCTTTTGACTTTGTAATAGAGAAACATTTGATAAACTTAATACTTATCTCAAGAGGAGGTACCGTGACCTTGAACCAAGTGTGGTGGTCAGATGGGTCAGGATTCAAATCTTGGTCTGGTTCGTCACATTTTTCTCCTTTTCTGTTACATTTGGTGCCATATGACCATGCAGGAAGTGACAGGTGAAAGACCTGCCAGGGAAGAGCCTGGGTTGGTGTCTTTGGGGGCAAAAGACCTTTAAGGAGGGAGGGATGTAGCAATACTCAATGCTTTATCAGTTTATTGACATTATAGCACTTTCGTGTCTTTGAACAATAGGGTACAGCAGTGTATTATATTTTTATATGAGGCTTCATAAACCAAATTTTGTAAATGTGAGCATAAAAATGAAAGACAAAAGCCCCAAGGGCCACAATGCTCAACTGAGTTCCCTAAACCCAGGGTCATGATTTTAACAATTTAGAATTTACACTTCCCAAGGATACATAAGTTTCAGCATTTCTAGCCCATTGGTTCTTGAGAAGATTTTAAAAGATTTTTCTTAATGTAAAACTTGGATTCCCTATTGTGGCCCCGCCCTACCCCCAGGGTCAAGAATTTAACAGTTTAGAATCTACACTACCCAAGGATGCTTTCACATAAGTTTCAGCTTTTCTGGCCAAGTGGTTTTTGAGAAGATGATTTTTAAAGATTTTTTCTATATATTTCAATGTAAAACTTGGTTTCCTACTGTGGCCCCACCCTACCCCCAGGGGTCATGATTTTAACAATTTAGAATTTAACTACCCAAGGATGCTTTCACATAAGTTTCAGCTTTTCTGGCCAAGTGGTTCTTGAGAAGAAGATTTTTTCTACATATTTCAATGTAAAACTTGGATTCCCTTTTGTGGCCCCGCCCTAACCCCCGGGGGTCATGATTTTAACAATTTAGAATCTACACTACCCCAGGATGCTTCCACTTGAGTTTCAGCTTTTCCAGCCCAGTGGTTCTTGAGAAGAAGATTTTTAAAGATTTTTTCTACATATTGCAATGTAAAAGTTGGATTCCCCATTGTGGCCCCGCCCTACCCCCGGGGGTCATGTTTTTAACAATTTAGAATTTAACTATCCAAGAATGCTTCCACATAAGTTTCAACTTTTCTGACCAAGTGGTTCTTGAGAAGATTTTTTAAAGATTTTATCTATATATTTCAATGTAAAATTTGGATTCCCTATTGTGGCCCGCTCTACCCCTGGGTGTCATGATTTTAACAATTTAGAATCTACACTACCCCAAGAAGCTTTCGTATTTGTTTCAGCTTTTCTGGCCAAGTGGTTCTTGAAAAGAAGATTTTTTAAGATTTTATCTATATATTTCAATGTAAAACTTGGATTCCCTATTGTGGCCCTGCCCTACCCCCGGGGGCATGATTTTAACAATTTAGAATCTACACTACCCGAGGATGCTTTCACTTAAGTTTCAGCTTTTCCAGCCCAGTGGTTCTTGAGAAGAAGATTTTTAAAGATTTTATCTATATATTTCTGAGCTTTCAGCTCAGGTGAGCTAATGATACATAATTTTTCAATATTTCTTTCATAAATATTGAAAAAGAATTGAAAATGAGTTTCCAATGGACAATTAAAATTGCTCATGATTTTCAACACACGGAGTTTTTACTGACATTTGTATAGTAGCCCTTAGTGCATTGCAACTCATTCAACTGATTGGTCAATCGGTAAAGTAAACACATTGGCTAATTTAACATGCAAAATGCTGGCATCAGAAAATCTAGTGGTCTCAACCTGATAAAGGAAGATGTAATATTTGAAAGTACGTATAGAAAGTGGATAGATTACAAGAAAATCAGAGCAATAGGTTTAAAATTAATTTATATATCAGAAATGTTAACAAATTTCATTTATAGTGAATATAAATGTACAGTTGATCTTTATCTCAAACATCGATATCTTGAATACTATGGACATATTGAACCTTAATATCTTGAATCTCTGATATATATCTTGGATGTTTTTTCTCGGTCCAGTCAAGTTTGAGACAGAAGGTGTAGGTTTCACTGTATATGAATTACACAGTTACAGTAGAATGTTCCAACAACAGAAACAATGTTACAAATATATGAAAAGTACATTAAAAGACTAGTAAATAAAATAAATATCACAGTGCTTGTGGAGAACTATGCATGTATATTTTCACTTTAAGTGTTGTTACTGTTGCCCATAAACTTCTCAAGAAGATCTTCTAAATTGAGAACAACTCCATGGTTATATTCTTTTTCCATAGATATGAATTCCTGAATGTTGTTGGAACATTCTACAAAAAAGAAAGTCATATTTTAAAATTGAAAATTCACATGTATACATGTACTTCATATTACATCATTTCTTGAGTAATGATTACATTTGTAGTATGTGATAAAAAAAAACCTCTGCATAAATATACATGTATACATGAACAAATTGTAAGTAAACTTAATAAATCAATACCTTCTGTTTTAATTGGGGGATAGGCAGGAGGAGGGGACATCCAGTGACCATCCTGGGTCAACATGTGTGATCTGTCTGATGCAAAAGTTTGCAAGAATTCAGCTGCCTGTATAACTCGAAACAATCTGAAACAATAGCATTCTATTGAAAGAGTTATTCCCCTTTACACAGTTTAAATCAATGTTTGAATTTTTGATCTCGTGTAGCGATCTATGTGAGCAGATCAAAGAATCTAATTTTAATCAGATTGATATAATATAAAAACAGTGTAAAAGATGTGATTGCCATGTAAATAATTAACCTTTGATAAAAAGAATCTCCCAAAACCAAGGGAGATCCTATATATATATATATATACACACACACAGTTGAACTTTGATATATCGAACACCAATATCTTGAACACCATGGATATGTCAAAGTAAATTGGAAGTCCCAACCTCTTATTCTGTACGTATTTTACCCTCGATATCTCGAAGCTTCGGATATCTCGGAAGTTTTTTCTTGGTTCCATCAAGTTTGAGATAACAAGGTTTGACTGTACATATAATTTAAATAAAAGATGAAAAGAAAAAGCAAAAGTCCTCCATAAAGCTTTAGCACTTTCATTACATCTTCAGAAGCAAAAGCTTTGTATCTTTAATTTGTTCATGTGAAGCTGTTAGCAGTTAGTGTACAAATATGCGAAAATATGGCATAGCAATTAACCACATAACAAATTAAAACATATATTAATATACAAGCAGTGAAGGGCAATATACCTCTGATATTCTGGTTTAAAATGTCTATCATCTTTGATAGATTCCTCATAATATCTCCTGAAGTCACAGGGAAATGTCAAGGTGGTGTCAAGGTCATAGACCAGTGTATGCGAGTCTGAGGGTTGGTAGACAAATATAACATGGTAATCCTACACAAGAAAATTATAAATTATATTAAACTTGATGCCATCCATATGTACTATATAAAACAAGAACTTCATAAGAAGTGTCAAATGTAATCACCCAAAAGACTTGACCATCTTCTCTTTTACTTGCTCTCTGTCTCCAAAATGGAATCTAATGTATTAAATTTATTTAAATATTAACATTAATATTAAAAGTAACAAATTTGGCAAATGATTACATGTATTAGCATGCAAATTACTGTACAAATGATAATGAATATGACACGTTCATAAATTAGGGTATATTTTTTAAAAAAAATATTTTTTTCCTCTTTGATGATCAAATTGATTAACTTTTTTATTACATGTATTAATTAATCTCAATTTAATGTTAATTTAAAAGGACCAAATGCTCTCTGTGCATTTGTGATTGTCAGTTAAATTTTATTTCTACGTAATGATATATAATTCAAAATAATTATACATTCAAGTTAATATACTTGCCGCTCTTTTCTTGTTGGATATAAATATGCAATAGCACCTCTCGATCTTGTCAGGGTAATCTCTTCGTATTTTATCACACAAACACCAAACATTTTCTTCACTAGAAATTAAAGTTAAAAAACAATTTATGCACCATGGCATCTGAAAGGTATCAGCATTAATGAATTTGCCTTTGTGATCCTAGTAACTTATAATGATGTATACGTAATTTATACTAGGTGCATATCTGTTGCTCACTGGTATGAAAAAAAATGGCATGGATGACCAGAAAGCTATATATAGTGCCATCCATAAAAGAAGTGCACTGTTTCCCAATTTATTTCTCCAAATATTTTAACAGCCATCTTGAAAATTTATACTACTAACCGTGTGTTCCATTTACCATTTCCACAAGAAAACATTCCCTTTAACTGTTGCTGATAGACTTATATGGACCAGAAATTGAGATCATAGAAAATTTTGCTTATTATACTGCTATTTTAAGTATCTTGGGGTGGCAAAACATTTGGTCTCTTTGTGCAGATGTCAACTACGAGAGTAAATGATAGAGATCTATTGAATTTTTTGAAATAGAGTTTTTGTGCTGTTGAGGTTTTGTTGTTAAACATCCCTCTCGAGTTTTCACTCATATGGAGATACCACCGCTTGCCGGTGGGGGGCTGCAAATTTAGACCTATACTTGGCATTTAGGGCCATTGAGCAGTGAGGGATCTTTTTCGTGCCAGCACCTAATGGCCGGGACATGGGACCTCGGTTTATATGGTCTCATCTGAAAAACCAGTCTTCACATCCTGTAGTGGGATTCAAACCCACGACATAAGGATCAATTCCTTACTCCATGACTCTAGAGCAAACGTTCTATCCACTGCGCCATGCGAGTGACTTGCAGTTGAGGAAATTTAAGAATTTGGAAAAATCAATCCAGAACTCAGCGCAACTTTTTGTGTGCAATAAATATACATTACATTTTTTTCTATGGGTTCTATGCAGATCTCAACTCTGTCGTTTTTTCTCTCTCGTGATCTACAGTTCTGCAGCTATGCATACACATGCATACACGTTCGTTGCGAATGTAAACAAATAATGATATATGTCAGATGAAAAAATTGATGGACACAAAGCATGTTATGGTGTGTTGTTTTTCTCGATAAAGTAGTGAATACCAAATTATACCATAATTGAAAGAATGAAGATAAGAAATTACCAATAACAAGAAGTATAAATACATCCCTCCCTCGCTACATCAATGCTCATTTTCCCAATTTTCACTTTCAGTTTGAGGAAATAACACTGTCATCAATGCGTTTACCATATCGTGAATGTTATTCATTATTTTACAAGCGCCAATATGACGCGGAATTCGGAAAACACCTAAGTTCAAGAAATGGATTCAAAAAGATTAGGTGATATAAAAGCCGAAAATGCTATATTTTTCATGTGTGACATTCAAGAAAAATTTAGACCAGTCATCAAGTACTTCAAGGAGATTTTAGAAATCGCTGAAAAATTGGTATGTCAGTCTTTATTAACTTTGCAGTAATAGGTGACAGGTTGAGCAACGAAAATTTTGAACGCCCCGTTAGAATCCTCATAATAATAGATAACTGATACTGTCTGTTGATAATTGAATGGAAAAAGCTGCATATAACAAACAGTGATAAAACTCTTAAATGCAGTAAAGAATACGAATCGTAAACAGCAAAAACACGGACCTTTGGAAATCCAGAGGTGGGATCAGATGCGGTATCAGGTTCGTTCGCCCTATCTACCTGTTCGCATGAGTCCGTTCGCGCAAGGTCCGTTCGCCATTATTCTTGTTCGCCCTATATCTCGTTCGCCCTCTTATATATATATAGTATATAGTAAATATCAACATTTATTATTAATTTTATTCAATATTTTACGACTTGGTGTTTTTTTTTTCAAATGTTGCTACAGAATTTTTTTTTATTTACCGTAATCTTAATTAAATAATTCAAATTTGATATTTATGCTCTTTACATCCTTAATTGCTTTAATTATACTTAATAATGTCACTGTAATTTAGGGGATCATACAATCTGCGTTATGTTTTGAAAACAATTAAAGGACTGAGACGTTAATTTCTGTTGGTCTGCCGGGTCTTTGATAGGACAGGTATTTATAGTGTGACCACATGCATACTTCTGTTGTCTCCCGTGTGCAATTTATGTACCAATGTACATATAATTTATTTAAAAATCCATTGCTTCATTATTCAACTTTCTGCAATATAAATAGGGCGAACGGACCTGTGCGAACAAGTTTTAGGGCGATTGGACTCTGGGCGAACGGGAATAAGGGCGAACGGCGTCAAGGGCGAACAAGTTTTAGGGCGAACGAACATACAACCATCAGATGCCTAGGAGTAAACATCCCCTGTCGTCGGTCACTCCCTACGTGAGAATCTGATAAGCCTAGTAATCGATACACACTGCCTACAATGGTACAGATAGGTGGAAGATAGTCAATGGACATGTGAAGATTTGAGTTTTTTCACGGGATAAATGGTTTTAGAGTGTTTAATTCCCAGAGAATGTGCACATGGAAAAATGAAATCCCAAAACATGTATCTTAAGCAAGAAACAAACAGTGTATTTTTTCATCATGACAATTATTTCGCTGAATTAATTTTATTTTTCTGACTAAAGTCAGCCCTTACTACACGTTTCACCTACAACAAAATGAAATAGTAGGGACTGGCTTTAGTCAGACTGGTTAAGGAATTAAAAAAAATAAATGATTTTTTTTGATTAGCTGGTTTAAAAGGTGAAGTGCTTCTGATAATATATAATATGTGTTATGGTCATACAATGTGTAACAAGTTTGAGTAGGTGAATTTTTTTTCCCAAAGAATGAATCTTCATAACACTGCTTTCTCGCCCCTTTTTAAATGCAGAATTTTACCTTTTTAAATCAGAACATTGTTATATTATAGCTAAAGTCTTCAAGCATAGTCTGTATAGATACTCATAAAAGAATTTTTTGGGAAAGAGACTTTTAATATATACATTATATCGATTAAATAAAATCATATAATTCACTGTAAAATCCCCACTTCGCCATTATCTAATTATATTGTCAGATTCTGTTGCAGTCTTACTATCCATGGGTGTTTTTATGTCATGAACTATAATGCTACTACACATAGCAAATAAATAGCTCACCGCTCTTAGATTTATTTACATCTTTAATGGAGCCATAAAGAAGGCAACACATGCATTCCTTGAAGCACTCTAGTTTATGTTTTGTATTATGTCATTCAGTTTGACTGGTTGCACTTATAATTTCAGAATCTTATAATGTTTTATAGGTTGAAGCCACAAACATTCTTGACATACCTTTGGTTGTGACAGAACAGGTGAGCACCCTAGGTTTGGTTTATGCTTCATATTTATAAGTGAACACAGATAGTTAAATCTATCCTCATGCTTTTTCAATTTAAGTATCCAAAAGGTCTTGGAGAAACAGTCTCTGAACTCAAGGAGAAATTGAAAAAAGACCAGGAACGTTACAGCAAAACAAAGTTCACTATGCTTGTACCAGAGGTCATCAGTCAGCTAGATGCAAACACTAACATCAAGCATGTTGTTTTGTTTGGAATAGAGGTACAGTCACTTACATCTTATTTTTATCACATATATATTATTTTACTTAATTGTATTTATAGTGCTTCCTCTGTGATCAACAGCCTATTTTCCAGTAAACCATGATCAATTAGACTTATAACACATGTACTAATTAAGTAGCTGTCCCAAACCACCAAGATCATTAAGTAATTGGAATGAAACCATCGATCTATATATGTATTACCATTAATTATGCATAGAGTTTATTGAGATTTATTTTAATTGATGACATAACCCAAACACATGCTGTATTTAACACTATTATATTGAAACTGTATGTTTCAGACTCATGTATGTATCCAACAGACAGTAATTGATTTACTACAGAAAAAGTATGAGGTTCATGTTGTGGCTGATGCCTGCTCATCAAGAACACAGATGGACAGAACATTTGCCTTTGAGGTATATAGCTATTATTTTCTGTACATGATTTAGAAGGGGTATCAGAATTAGCTCCAAGAAATATGTACCTGATTATTTAAGTGTATTCACCTGTCATGCACAAGTAGGAATAACAGGATATGAAATTTACCAGTCATTTGTAATTTACTTGTAACCTTTTCTACCTTGTTATAAATGTTTTATCCAACTTGAGTCACTCTGGTAACTTAGAGTTATCTATCTTGAGTTGTCATCTTATACCATATTTGCTTCTATATATATCTTTAAGAAATAAACAACAATGTTAAAAAGCTCTCTGAGAAATGAACTTGGTTGGTCATGTGATCAAATCCCGTGAAGCCCCAAGGGCATTTCAGAAGATTTGATCATGTACCAACCAAGTTCATTTCCCAGTGAACTTTTTAACATTTTTGTTTATTACTTTTATTTACATGTGAGACAAATATTCTGAATAGAACTGCATTTATTACATGAATGGCCCGCCATATTGCTATGTTGTGACGCGCAATGACCTAGAGAAGCTGTGTGGTCTTGAGAGTTTGCCCCGCCCCAACATTTGAATACTTACATTGATGTTCAGCCATTCAGTTCAGGAAATATCTGTTTATAATGAAAAAAAAAAACAATGATTGCTACTGAGAATAATCTTACTATTATTGTATGAGTTCTTTATATACACTGTATGAAGTCAAAAGCGGTGGTATCATCTTCAGTTTACGTACCTTCAAAGAAATTTCGGGTTAAAAAGGTATAAGCGTGATTTTAGGCTAATGAAAAACATTCTTCACACAGAAGAAAGATCTAATGATCATTTATTGAACAAAAAAAACATATATGTTTCAATAATTTTATCTTTTTCATTGCTTTAACACCTTAGAAGTTCCGAAACCTTTGTCACTGTGACAGAAATATGTAGACAAGATATCATCTCACAGTGTGATTTGGTCATGCCATGATCTCTGACCCCCTAAGTTCATACAGAATGGAACATTTTTTTCTCTTCAAATAAATAAATATTAACTTTGGACATTTTGCTTCTTTAATGATCCTGTGAACCATTTTTACACAATTTTAGTACATGTTTATCTATGGATAATTAAGAAAAAATTGTTTATTTTTCATGGTCATTGATGAGGGTTTAATTTATCTTTAGTAACTTTTTTTTTATTCAAAAATTTATTATGTATATAGTGCATTGCATCTCTGTACATGCAGGAGTAAGATATAATTGTCATTGCCTAAGTTTTTGTGCCTTGGGCTCAAAATCGTATATTGATATTTTACAAAACTTACCATGGAACCTGCAAAGATCGATAAGTACATGTACAGTAAAACTCAATTATAGCAAAGACCTGAGGACCTGTGAATTTATTTCACTGTGTCAGTAATTTGTTATATCCCTATAACAAATTCGTTAATATATATAGTGAATTTGCAATATACACGATTTCCTTCAAGAATGACTGTAAATTCACTTTACATGTATCCATGTTCATACTAAACAAGTTTTACCGTATTGTGTCATTTTGTTTGTCTGGTTTTCTGCAGTATAAATTTAAACTTTTTAAGCTGTTTTTATTAGGCTAAAAAAATAATAGTGTTGTTTCCTACTACCAGCTTGATGCACAATTCAAGTGGTATTTTATGAAAGTCCATATTTAAAACTTAGAATTTCATGAAATGCTTGTTTTTTGTTAACACAGAAACAAACCATTTATGGTGACAGAATGATGAAATTCTGCAAGTTCACAATTTTTTTTTCTTCCAAAACTAAAAAAAACTTTAGGGTCCGGCACAAAAAAATAGGATCGGTTGGGTAGCAGGAAACAAGACTATTATTTTTTTGACTTTAATATGTATAATATTAGTCATTGTGCTATCCAATGTAATCTGCATGGTAGGGTCAAATAAGGTCAGGTCATACTTAGAGGTCAAAGATTAACGAAGAGTTTGTCATCAGAGGAAGTTGGGATTTCATTGGGAATTATGTTTCAAAAGCATATCCTGTTTTTTCTTTATTTTAATTTTTAAAATTTTTTTTTTCATAATACATGTAATATATTTTCTCAGAGGTAACAAAAACAAATGTTATTTATCTAAGATTTTTAGTATTAATCATTAGGAAAAGTTTATCAGAAAGGTCATACAGTAAAATGATTGATGAAACATGTAATTATTACACAAATATGATGGATGAGTTCAAGCTGTATGTAAGGAAACATCTGTTTCAAAAGTCAGAAAATATGTTACAGTTTGTGCAAGTTTTGGGAATATCAATGTAAGGCATTTCTAATTACTTAAAACCATTAAAAATTACATGTCAAATGTTGCAATATTTGATTAGATTAGAATACAAATAAAATAGTATTAAATAACAAATGAAAAATTAAACAATTCAAATGGAAAATTAAAGAATACAAATAAAATGCAATACAAATGAAAGATGACACAATAAAAATAGAAAGTTTTATGGAATATAAATGAAAAAAATATACAATATGATGAAAAATTATAGAATACAAGTGGAAAAATTATAATATAGAAATAAAAATTATACAATAAAAATGGAAAATTATACAATACAAATGGGTGCATGAAGATTCCATCTTACCCATAAGTGCCATTTTGATGATTATATGTTCGGTTATATCTATAGAATTGACAACTTGATGTTTTTATCTATTTCCAGAGGTTTAGACAAAGTGGAGCCATTGTGACCACCAGTGATGCCATTTTATTACAATTGATTGGTGATAAAGACCATCCACAGTTTAAAGCAATCCAGAAGCTCATCATGAAAACTGCCCCAGATTCGGGCCTTTAAAAAGTCTGAAGATAAATGTTCATATGAACTCCATGCCTCCATCACCCTACCTACATGTATTATCATTCATTTTCATCAAACATTTCTAAGTATTTTACATAAAAGAAATAAATTGATTGTGAACATTGATTGATATTATTGGTAAGCATTTAACAAATGAAGGATGTATGTGATTTTTAAAAAATTAATAGCCCACTAAATATTTGTTTTATGCTACACAGTGGCCAAGCTATCAGACAGAAAAGGGAGAGGGAGGGATTGTTGAGGGGAGAAGGTTTGCAAAAAATTATTATTAGAGCATAAAAGTAACTTTAAACAATATCAGCTTAAAAGCTGGGTGGGGGCAAAACCCCTTCCTCCATACACATATGTTAGGGTTTTACTTTGAAGTAGTACAAGAAAATCATGCTAATTTTCTTGATTTAATGGGATTCATTTACATTTTTCAGGACATTTACCTTGGGGGATTTTAGAGTCATTTTCACTTAACAATTCAGTACATTTGCTCTCAGTTTATTTAGCTATAAAACATGCACTGTATTTCATCATTTCAATTTATTTAATATTCTTTTCTTGATTTTTTAAAGTTCATGTAATAATATCTTAAGTACGGTGTTGCACATAAGCCACATGTATTAAATGTGTACCTGTCTATACTTGTATACTAACTAGAATTGAGCATGCAACACTATAACCTTAGAATATTTCAAATCTTATAAATAACTTTAAAAAAAAAATTTAATTCTAAATTGATATGAAAAAATCATACTTAAAAAGAAAGTGAAAATAAATTTGAAAAAGTTTGCAGTCCTTGGAGGCAAGGGACTTTTACTATTTACAGAGGTCAAATTGGCACTGGAATATCAAGAGCAGAATGCTTGACCTACTACGTCCCAAGATATCAACAAACCTTCTCTTCACCTTTGGCAAATTAAGAAAGATAACAGGAGATAGTTGTTCATCACTGTTTGTAATGAAAAACACCAAAGAATTAATAGCTACGAGGGTCGTTCAATAAATAATGCAATAGGTCATCTAAAAGTAAGAAAAGTACATAATACATATTCTAAACATTTTCAATCCCTCAAAGCATTCCCTGTTATCCTTTATACATGTTTTTAGTCTTTGTACCTATGGCCAGAAAACCTCAGCATACCCATCTTTAGGGATGCCCTAAAGACACTGATGAATAACACTTTCCATGACATATCTAATATTGTACAATCTTCCTTTGAATGTTTTCATGCATTTTTGGATAAAAAGATCTCAAAATGGCTGAGATCTAGCAAATATGGGGGATGGCAAAGCTCTGTAAACTTTCTTTTCTTCAAAATTTCATTTATTTCTCTGTTCTTATTTGCAGCAGCGTTGCCAGGTGCAAGAAAATTACCCTGGGGGTGGTATTTGGACTTCCTTTGCAGGAAATTTGTTTACTTTTCCTCAGTGCAATTTGAACATAAAAGTTACCATTGATGGTCGTTCCTTTGGGTGTATGTACATGTTTTACTGGACCTCTTGAAAAAATGATAACTAATAAACTATGCTTGGAGCCCTTGTTTTTCCTTTCAATAATAAGAAGGATAGCTTTTTTTTTGATTCCACATTTTTCCTTTTTGGCTATAAGAAGTGCACGCATTTTTTGTCATCTATCACGCAAATTTAACAAATCTTCTATTTTGTTAAACTATTTGTTTTTAAATACTTAGTAGACCGTTGGCACATTTAATGCGTATTTTTCTCCTATGCAATTTTAAGAAAATAAGGCACCTATCTGATAGAAATATTATTATGTTCATTTCCGTTTGACTTTTATATTGTAAGTCTCCTTTTTTACTTTGGAATTTCTGAATCAATGTGAAAACTATACAGCGTTAAAGACAATTTTTCCACATATAAAAATCGTATCTTTAATATGAGTTCTTCGACGATTTAAGTAAAGAAGCACAGTTTTCACATACGCTCTCATTTTCATCTTCTTGGCAAAGATCATTTTAAAGTTTTCAGCTCAGTGTAGTGACCATGCGTACTTTAAAAGTGAATTTCTTTGCGAGGACAACAGGAAAAATCATGGGTTTTTCTGTGATTAAAAGCTCTTTAATTGAACATTTCAACTGTGAAAAATTAAAAGTAAATAGATCTCCATTTACTATAATATTCTGTTAGTTGCATTATTTATTGAACGACCCTCGTATCAGACTGTATTCTGACGTGCACCTTCAAGATTCAAACTTGGAATTCTCAACACAAGAATAAAAAATGAAACTGTAATTATGGCTTTTGCCCATCACAGGCTCTTGAAACCATAACGTGTTAAGGAAGGAAATAATTCTGAAGTAACCCAGAAACGACACATCAGCATCCTGAATATTATAAAAAGGTCCAGCCTTGCATTCCAACATACAGTTCAAGTTGAAGTCCACACCTGTTTCTTACAAATAATCTTTCACTTTTGCTTCCAAACGCCTGAAACATTTTTTTTTCAATTACTAGACTAAGTATGCACATCAATACGGTGATAGGAATGTAGTAAAAAATGAGAACCTCAATTCACTCTTTTATAGAGTCCAAAAATAAGGTTACCTCATTCTTTCAAATAGTGAAAGAATTTTACAACTACAGTACACAGGTAATTGTGGACAGGACCCCCCCCCCCCCCACCCACCCACCCAAAAATACCCCACGATACATTATAAGAGAGACTCTCTTATAATGTATAATGAGGCATTTTTTGTGTAGAACGATTATTTTGGGGTTTTCACGATTTTTTCCTATGGTACACATGATGAATAAGTGTAATAAATATAATTTGTGAAAAAAATGTCCAACAAGCCTCGGGGTTGAATATCGGGGGGGGGGGGGGGTCCACAAGTACCTGTGCTACAGTACTAATATGAATTATCCAAGACGGTTGCCCAAACATATGGAAAAGACCTTGACACTTTGTCAGAATGGATAAGAGTGGCTGATTTGTAATTCAGTCCCTTTTAGAATTATTCCTTTCATATGAGATATCACCGGATGCCAGTGTAGGGTTTCAAATTCAGACCCTTACTGAGCATTTTTGGCCATAGTGACTCAAGGCGTCTTACCCGAAAGACCCGCATCGCTGAGAGCTACATGAAAGCGAAGGAGCGATTGCTACGTACATGTATTTTGTATCGAATTAGGTTTGTCGAAGCTTGGGCGCGAACCAACGACCTTTTAATTGCAGAGGGATCGAGCGCTTTACCGACTGAGTCACCTTGACGGCCAGAATGAATATTAGAAATACATAGTAGTGTGATGGATAAAATCACGTACTAAGGTCATAGGATACCCACAATCCAAAGAAATTTAGGAATTGATCAGACCCTCCTGTTTATGTCATTTTAAGGTTTAGATTATGTTAAAATTGGAGTGGATTTTGTATTTATTTGGGGGGAGGGAGATTTAATTTTTTTTTACAATGTTTTTTTTTTTTGCATTGAATTTCAATATAAATATAAAAGTGTAGATTGGGGAAAATGGAAAAAAAAAACAAGGTTGGTTTGATAGGGAAAATTTGTGATAAATATGTGTCAGTAAGCAATGATTAAGCCTTCACAAACTGTATTACAGATTTCTAAACATACATGTACATATAAATCACAAGTGAGGAAAAAACTTGCGAAGAAAACATGATTAAGATGTAATGGTTAGTACGCATAGAACAACATAGTCATTGTTTGTTAGACTATTAGAAAAAGATTCTTCAGAACCATATGCCATTTTAAACTATCTTTTTTACTTCCAACAAGCACTAGTATTATAATATAGATTTTTAATTACCATACCTATTCTGGATTCCAAAATATCAAAGGATCCAGTAAATGTCCAAACAAGCCTGTATCTATACTCGAAAAATATTAGCAGTGAAGGAGACGCTTGAGAAGTAATGTAATGCAACGTATTGGAGAAGTGAGTGGTGTAAAATAGAATCTGAATACTTAAGGTCAGACGACAGGTTCCCTAATAGTATGAAATATTTTTTTCCAAAATGAAGTATTGCTACGATATTAACAATTCTTCTCACAAGCAGTTGAGACACCTATAACTAAACATCTGTGCAAGATACCAGAGGATGGTGTTTCCTATGTAATCCTTTTGCCAATATCACAATTTTCTGTATTTATTTTTATGGCAATTTAAAAACAGGGTATAAATCGCAAGAGAATGAAAATTATGAATAATTTTTGATAGATTATGAAGAAATACATTGATGGGAAACTTTAACCAACTTATCTTTATGAAAAAAGGGATGTTTCAAATTTTCTATTGTCAACCTCCCTTATTTAAGGAGCAATATTCCATAATCACTCGATTTGTTGTTTATGTCTCTCGATCATTCACTTGCAAGAGTATGTTTTTGAGTCGATTAATAATTCACATACTGACAAATAAAGTGATCATACAAAGGTATCAACAACCTCGTTTTGAAAGACATTTCGCAAACTCTATGGTATTAATTACAATGACCCTGGTATACAAATACTCAAATACTCCTGAACTGGGTTAAATGTTAACTGAAGTTATGGCATTTTATACTGATTAAATTTTTGCTTACGTATTGCTCCTTTTTTTCCTGATTCAGACAAAGGAATCACTGGGGTTGTGACCGATTGACAGGGGATATCTATTCATTCTTGACACCTGTGGTGTTTCCCGTCGTCCGTGCTTGTCCTGCTCTCGATTTTATTAACGTTTTATTGGATTTTAAGCTTCATCACTAATCGTGATTTTTACAATTCGAGATTGAAGTACTCTAGTGTCTTATTAGCAATATGTATGTTGTCTTTGAAGACTAAGACATCCAACAATCTGCTTGAATTGAAAGACAAAACAGAATCTGCAACACTTCTTATTTTAGGATTTTTACCCATTATAGATGTCAATGGATAGCAAACTACTAAGGTATACATGTATGACAAATGGGATTACTTAATCTTTTCCATATTTATGTAGCACTGTTTAATGATCACTTGGATCTTGGGTCAATGTCTCCTAAATTAATTCACTACAAAAGAGCATGTTCTGTGTACGATCAATTTTTAAACCGAGGTAGGGTACTAACAAATAAGTTGATGTCATAGGAATTTCAGTAGTCTTCCTTA